GGGACCAGTTAGTAAAAAAGCAGACCAAAGTATTTATTCGATCAATGAGATTAGACCCATTATAGAGATACAAATGAAATCAGTACTTACACTTAGCATGCTGTAGAAATCGTTGCATGAATGTAAACATGAAGCTTATTCTTCCACATAAGTGTATGGTTAAAGCTCAAGAAACTAGTTTTCACATAATTGACAAAGACTGAAATAGAAAGAGGCCACTGTTATCACTGTTATCACACTGCTGTTATGACAGCAGTGTGATAAAGAATTGCTGGCCCTTCTTTCTTGAATCCAAATATTATTTATTATTTAAAGCATTTACTTAGAGCTCAGACAATAATGAGGAGTGGGAGAGAAGAAGCAAAACAATAAACAGTAAACCGTTTTGAACTGTCAATCTAAAGGAGCTCGAGGGGGGAAAACTAAACTGGGTAAAAGATTCTGGATGAAACTGAAGAGTGAAAAAACAGAGGTCTATATAAAAGTTCCTTTAGGACATTAACTTTCTCAATCAGACCTCTAGTTTGAACTCTAATAACTGCCAGGTCTAACTGACAGGTGGGGAAAGTGCAGATCAACCCACAAGTTCTTTCCTAAACGTTCTAAGTGTGGACCTGTGGTCGAGCATTATATCGAGGAAATTCAGAATTGTAGATCATGCTCAGATGCCGATCGTATTTAATTTACAGTGTCACACACGGTGAATAGAGGGTTTTACATTGAACAGTACACAATCAAGTACACAAAGAAGATTGTTATCAGGGTATTCAAATGTTTATAAATGTATTCAAATTTCAGACAAACTGCCATCAACTACCTTTGTTTGCAACAGATGTAATCTGCTGTTAATCTTCATAAATTAGGTATTACATTTCACATGCCGCTTTTTGATTATAGGTTTAAAAAAAGATAAATATAGTGTGTGATCAGAGCTGGGTTTAGTATCATCCACTAAATACCAACGTTTCTAATGTGTTATGAAGCAAATCTATGCTGATTTTCAGGAGACTATGTAAAATATAAGTTTGATTATACTTTACTTTCTTGACATAACACTATCAGCATCGTTAGTGTCCACTTTGCATGTTTATCAAATATTCTCTAATGCCTGGAAATGATGAAAATCATGCCACATATACAAAATAAACAAAATGCTTGCTCTCAGACCTAAGCCAGAAAAAGCACCAAAGTGTACAGTATCAGTATCATCCCACCAGGAGTTATTCAGTGTTATCCTTATTTGAACCTTTCAGTATCTCCTTATCATACACTGCACTGCTAATGCACTTCACAACACTTCACAAAGATGTCCTGAAGCAAATGTTTGGGGTTGAGTTAATAATGTCTCTATTTTCAAGGACAAGGATACAGACACACAGCATAATGAATTTCAATATAAAGATTTTCAGCGTTGAAGTGGCACAAAACAACTGCAGGTAGTAAAGAGACAAGCCGCAACAACAGAAGCCCTTCTGAATACCAACATTTCTATTCATTTCAAACTTTTAAACAATATTTTCAAACTTGAATTGGACAAACGTCTGTAGGGCCCAGTGTATAGCCTTCTCCACTATTTGGGAATATCCAATCATTGCATATGTTGGGCAACAAACCATCTAAACTTTAAACTTAAATGCTAATAATGAAAACATTTTGGACAATGTTGCTACAAATCCTCTAAAAGTCAAGCGACTTTGCTTGTTACAATCTACATTCTTTTTTCATTTGATCATTAATCTACGAACAGATGAATAACTAGACAATAGACAATGTCCTTGTCATATTGATGTAACAGGCCACTTTTGTTTTAGTCTTTCCGCTATGGTAGGTGGGTAATTACTGTCATTGATTAATAATCCTGGGCCAGCCCTATAATAATCTGTCCCACATGTGCCTGGTCCTTTTAAGGAAAGGCTTATTTGCCACTGGGATTCACAGCCTAAACTGCTTAGTGGGATGTAATGGAGAGCAATTTTCTTGTCATGAAAAAAAAAAAAAAATGAAATGGGGTGGTTGAGCCCGGTCATTTTCCATAGCCTCATCACATCAAATCTCCAAACAAGGACAACTCTGATTTAAGATCAACTGATATCCTCCCTGCGGGAAATAAGTAGCTTTCCAGAAAACGAGGAAGCCTTTTATTGCTTTGCTAGTTATTTTGAGTATTATGTTTGAATTGCAATTTCTCCATTTCTTAAAAAAATTACAAAATCGACCTGCATAATCCTTTGTTGCATGAAATACAATACACCGTGGGTAATATTATCAAATGATGCATAAGACTCAATAAGTGCTGTAAGATCAAGAGAAATAGCATAATTCACAGTATGATGGATTGCTTATTTCCATGCATTGTTGGCAAAGTGGTGAGATGACTGCTGGGAATTCAGCGTACAGTAAAGGCAAGCCTAAATCTCCTCAAATGTAATTAAAAGCAAAGTGATTTACAGTTTGTTTTGTATTAGTCTGAGTTTAGATTTCCTTATTTCCAATGATATGCAGTGGTGTGGATTTCTGAAAATGGCCCCCAAAGAAGAAAGCAATCTTCTGAGAGATTAATGTGTTTATAGAAAAAATTGAAAAGCAACCCTAATGTTGAGGCAAAACTGGGAAGAGAATGTCCAAATTGGAAATAATAGGCATTGCCAAGATGTAAATGGTAAATGTTCCATTTGTCTGGGCTCTTGTCGCTCGAGTAGAAGAGCATCCATCTGCAGATTAGTGTCAGCAGAAGCTATTTTGCGATGGCAGGCACACATTCATTTCGATATTTTCGATACATTTATGAATGAAAGAATACAACTTTTAATCAGAAAGAATATTTGTCACTTCAGTGTCTGATGGTATCATTTAACGATTTAAAAGTCTTTGAATCTGACGGCCTACACCAATAAATCTTTGAAAGCACTAACAACAAGGCCAAGTGCTTTCCAAACACCGACTATGGCCATAATAATTCAGCTGAATAACAGTTTTGACAGAAAACACTGAGATGCAGAAACTCATTCCACAAGGATTATTTTCTCTTAAAAACATGTGCAATTTCTGTTAAATGAAACGCTATGTTTGCATGTATTCGATAGCAACCAATTATCACCAGGAGCCAACCATTCTGAGTAATGACATGATGCTCAAGTTAATCAGTTAATTTCGTAATATTACAATTAATTTGGGAACATTTTAATTACTTAATGCATTTAGTTTAGCGACAATAAAAATACCATTAACATAACATTAACATTCAATAAAAATGATAATTGATTGCAGGTTTTTAATCCTTCTTTCTTAAGCCTACATGTAACATTCATGAATTCAGGAAATTAAAAAATAAAAGTGAAAAATGTTTTTTTACTTTGTTCAGTGCTGAGGAGGAGGAAATACTTTTATTTTGAGATTTCATAAACTGAAAAGATTGTTGACTGCAGTCACGGCAGCTGTTTAATGTGTGTGTAGGTGGAACAAATAAGTCAGTGATAGAAATTACAGGAAAAAGAACAAAATTCAAACCGTGGATAGACTTTAAGAAGGAGTGAGATGTCTTGTCAGAGCTGAGCACTCACAAAGAAAAGTCAAGCGCTTGTCAGATTCTAATACACACGAGAGAGACAACGGTGATGATGACAGTGATCAGAGTTGGAAGATAAGAAGATGATTCCGGCTGCGAGTAAAGATAGCTCTAATGTAAAATAACATCATGTTCAAAAAAGAACTGACTATTCCCAGGTAAAGAACTTCACAATTATATAGTTTATCGGCACAGAGAAAGTGTTTAGCCCAAAGATAATTACAATAACAGCACCCAGTGGCATTGTGATTGCTCCCAGGGGATATTGCAGGTTATTAGATTGTCATGGTGCACCCTGTTTTGGAGACACTTGAACTGACTGCCCACAAGACTGACTCACAGTTTATCTGCTCCATTTGTTTGACATCTTTACGACATACCGTATTAACACAACCTAATTTCATCTGGGCCTCAATGTCTTCTCTTGGCTGTCTCCTGGAAATCCTTCAGGGTTAGGTTAGGACTGCTGGGACGTTTGTCTCGACCGAATTACACCAAGTGACATTTCTTCCTTCCCATCATGTTTTCCATTTCAAGTTTGCAAGTGGGAGAATCGTGTGACAAACTTTCAAAAGCGACACAAGTGTTACTGACAATCATCAAAGGAAATTAGCTCGGAAAAGTGTAGGAGGCGGCACCCACATACACAACACAAACGTTTGCATACTTAGTACAAAACGTTACATTAATGACAAAGATAAACACAAAGAAAACACTGCAGTCCCTCGTTTGATCATTTATGGCATGACAGTAAGAGTTATGTGACCCTTTAACAGAATAAATCAGGGATGAAAAATCTATCAAATTAAGCAACTAATAGCTTCCTTAATGTCTTTGTTTGTGTGCAGATGACACTCCCATTCAGCCTAACAACAAGCACCAATCATATTAATTATCCTCCAAAAACAACTCACCATTTATTACCAATTAGTTCTTCAAAATTAATAAATTGTGATCAAATAGTTTTTATTTTGGACATTAAACGCATCGACCTACCATACTTTGGAGTGGACACTGGTGTGTGTGTGTGTGTGTACTTTGAATTTAATTTGCACTACTTTATACAAACTATGACCTCAATTCAAAATATGATGCATGTGCACACATGAACTGCAAAATCCTGTGTTAAATCCATCAGCTATGCAAAACCACACTGGTGATTTTCTGCATCAATGCAGCACCAGTGAATTCCACCAGCTGGGTCAACAGCCGTACGATTCTATAAATGAGGCTGTTTTATAAACCAATATAGATTAATGCTGCATTGTACAATTTCTCCGAACTAATGTTTTCCACTAAATCTTAATGCTCACTAACTGTCAGGTGACGCAGCCCTCAATGGCAGCAGTCTTGATTAGAGAATATTCGTGCAAGGCATTGGTGCAACACTTTACAGAACAAACAAAAAAACATATATTAATGAACTGGTACTCACATTTTGCAGGGAGATCGTAGCCGCAGGTGATCTTGGCTTTGCTGGTTTCACAGCCATTTAGTGAGTTGCACTCATCATACAGACAGGACCCCGCCGCTTTGTGTATGCAGCCATCCACTGAAACACAGACATACAGAGAAAGGTAAGGCCTAACTGAGGAGAAGCATACACAAGCAGGATCACAACAGATCTCAAAGTAGCCATGCTAATTAGCAGTGTGTGGGCTTCGTCATGTCAAAACAAACAAGCGTTTACAGGAACAAGTAGCAAATTATGTACATGAGCTTGATTTCTGAATCTCTACATTCTCAGCTCTGAATCTCCTCTCTGTAGGGTTACTGGGTCTGCCATAGTGTGCAGTGCCTATTGCTGGTAAATATTGACGAGCTTGAGAATGAAATTAGCCGGGCTAGAATCTAATAACGCCTCCACACACAGTGAAAATGAGACGGTTCTTCCTGTAATCCGTCTCCACTGTCAACAGCGATATACAGTCAGATCATTAACTGTATTTGCTGCCCTGTGGTGGGAATCTCATATCAGTCCTGTGCTCTGTGGTGAGTCTGTTACGATGTGGATCTGTGTTCTGATTCTGTCGCGCTCCTCATTGATGTGTGTGTCCTGGTTCCGCAAAGACTCCGGGCCCCCGCCCCCCTAAGGTTTTAATTGTACCGGGTTAAGGCCGGGATACACTTGATTGATGGCACGTCTTACACAAGAAGGCAGAGGGATAGAAATCCACATTATCCGTCTCTGAAAGCCTGACATCCCTCCAAGAGCATGTTATCAATCACACTGAAACATCATAAAATCCTCCTCAAGTTGTCCTGTAAAAATCCTCACAAGCCATTAGAGGATAACAGGGCCAGGAGGAGGAACAGTAGCGTTTGGAAAAGCAGACGTGTCTTTTCTTAAGTTTCTCTTTGGCGGATGGAGAGAACAAATCTGTCAGAATAGATTTATCCATCAAAGCTTAACATTGTGTAGAGTGAAGATTGCCTGCAGGATAACCACTGTTTACATATTCTGTTCTGATGAAGAGGAAAATAACTGTCGAACAGATACAAAAAAAATCAGAATGTACATTCCTGATAAAAGGCACAACGTGACACTTATCGCAATTTTAATCTCTAATGCAATAATTATTCATGTACGGTGGCAGGAAAAAACTGCGAAAAAAGGCAGATTATTAGTTGTACCCTATCTTCTGAAATATACTTTGCTTCAACACAGACAAAAGGTCTTTTGATGAGGGATGGTCCTCTGCTGAGATCCTTTCAATTTCTTAGGGATGAGTCAACGACAACAGCTGGGCGGAAGATTGTTTAGCTCTATCAATCATCTTTAATGGACGGAGGGACAGGCAGTTGACAGAGACGAATCCTGATGGATTTTTGAAAAGTAACATGAGTGTGACAGTGATGTGGATACGAGGAGGTATCGCTCTGACGACAATGAAAGCTACTTAACACAAGAATGAGCAGCTGTAGCGCCGGCTATAGGCTTGGCATTTTTATTATATTCACAATGCAAACAAGATTGTCCATGATCATCAGCCACACTTATTTGCATCATAATTGCTACTTAACATGGCAGAAACATGAATTGCTAAATGCGCAGGGTAAACTGAAAGCTACGGGCCTCTAAACAAGCTCATCATTTATATTCACATCAAATCGCTCCTGATAAGAACAAGAAATACCTTTGGCATTCAAATCTTTAGACAGAAAAAGACAGAAACATTACACCTTTGGTCTGATTTGATGTCACAGCTGTTCTGATCCCATTCCAAGATGTTCTCTAGTTTCTAATGTTTCTACTCCTACTGACAGGCGTCATATTCAGCATGTGTCTATTGATTCAAATTAATAACGTTACCCCCAGGCTTCAGTTATTTAAAAATCACAAGGAGTTCTAATATGGCTGAAATGTTATCATTTGAATCTTCACAAAAATTGCATTAATACTTCATTTTCCTAGCTGTCTTGTTATATAGCCTTTGCATAATACATGTATAATATATATTTGGGGAAAATATATAATATATGCATTGAAAGGCAATTCAAGTTTAGTTTGTTGTGCTCCTGGATGTATAATAGTAATGCATTTTCAGTTTCTCGAGGTGATATGAACATAAAAAGTCTCAAGGCACTAACAAAAGGTTCACATGAGGGCTAGGACGAAGTCATAATGGGTTCTGTGGGTTTTAGAACTTTTTAAACATTATGAAGGCCATCCTGCAGTAGCATAAAGAGAGTGTTGCACATTTTGTATGTTAGCTATGATATTTTGGCCACTAAGTGTAAGCACACAAGATAAGAAAGAGATAGTTATTCAATACAATTAGGCATTGAAGGTTGCATAAACATGACAGTGTGTTTACAGAGCATTGTATTAAAAGTAGATCATCATCTAAAGAGTCACCAATGAAAATAAAATATGTATGTCTCTTTTTAACTATCGTTATTCAAAGTCTTTTTGCGTTTCCCTTAAGACAGGCAGTTCAAGAGCAGGAAAAGATCCTGCTAAAACAGCTGTCAAGGAAGATATGCACTCTTCATGGTCATAAGGGCACACGGCCCTCCTCCAGTTTGCAGAGTTCCCGCAGGAGTCCATCCTCCCCAGGCACCTCCTCTCATCACTACCAGGCATGGCAAATCTCTTACCTACAGTATAAGCACCTTGGGAACTCAGGGAGCAAATCATACAGGGTTCTGTGTTTCATCTCAGTAGCTGGAGAGTAAGATTGTAGATAATTGTTTCAGCTTCCATTTTGCTACTCCTCCCGTTCATGGTTGCATAGCTAGGGTGGAACACTCTTTTTCTGATGCTACTGAGTGTGTCACTGAGCATTTAATGTCAGCGAGTCCCTATAAGCCTGGAAATGTGTTCACAGTGCCCGTAAATAGAGGAGAAGATCTGGCTGATTGCCGGATGCTCCAGCTCCAGATTTAATTTACCTGCTTCACGGAATGGGAGGAGTGCCACGGATGCAAAATGGGTATTATGTGTTTAAAAAAGAGATACATAAACTGTATGAAAAGGGAAGGGTAGGAAAATGTTTTAGAATGTAATGCATTATTTCAAATGCAAGTGCGTAGTGGGCTGTGGTGCAATCAAAACTTAATTGTGAATACATGTTTCCATTATTTAGGCAACTTAAAGCAGATCGGAGTTTCTGTAAGTGGAGTTATGACCCACATGCAATTTATTTTCTCATTTAAGTGGGATTCCAGCATTATTCCCTGAAGAGCTTTACATTATGGATGCCTTCAGCATTACAAAGACAGCCTCAGGTTCTCATTAACTAAGCACTTGCATTCACTGCAGAAAGGAGGATGTCACTCGCCCGTTGGTCGCAATACAAATGTTTCTACAAACATAAACAATTCTACATTTTGTACATTTAATTACAAGTTCCATAGTTTGGATTATCTGCAAATTAAATTCGATTTTCAGATAAACCTTATACAACTGAGAAGTCGCTGTAAAACCTCACAGTTAGTAGCCTCGTGTCATGTGTCTTCCTATTATTTAAATGTGTTTCAGTGGTTGCAATAAGACTCCAGAACGCCATTATGTCCGTGCCCCTTTTCCATTATACTGACATGGAATAATCATATGCAAATGCAACAAAAAAAAGTACACTGCGCCCCTTTTGAGGATGCACTTTCATGAAAGCACTGAAAGGTGATCAAAGTGATTTATTTCTCATCTCCCAGCGTTCAGTGGGAATCACATGTGGAGCAGAAGCCCTAAGATAAACAACTTCTTCGGTTATGTGATGCACATCAGCGGTGCTCAGTGCTATATTTCAACTCCTGTAAGGACTTCTTTATGGAGGACATTCCATTTAACAGGCTTAATATTCAGGCGGCAGCATCTGCTTCTGTCCAACCCACTGCTGGGCTTCCTCAGCCCCTGTTGAAAAATATAACAGTTAATACCTCATCTATCTCTCCTTGCAGCCTGCCACCGCTTTAGGCTGGGACTATGTGGGACAAAACATTTATTCATCTTCTCTGAGTGCCTTGCTCAGAGAAAGCTTCCCCGAGCAGCCACTCCAGCAAGTCCGCGCGGCTAATGAAGATAACTTTGAGCGGTGGCTGGACGGCATCCCTCTGAACTCATAATGGGAACAAGGAGAGAGCAAGAGACAGAGGAAGAGCCATATTGAGAGAGACAAAGGAGACGAGGTTGTGTGTGCGTGTCACTGTGCGTGTCAGTCTAGAGCAGTTTGAATTAGTTACTCAGCTGTAACCTTGGCTCCTGCCATTGTTGGAGACACCTCTGCCTCGTCCTCTCAAGGCTCCGTTCCCACATGCATTAAGGGACTCAGCAAAGCTCTGCTTACTCTCCCGGGGCTTCTCCCAGGCAGCCCGAAAACTAAGGGCTTTCAATCGCTCCCTCAGATACAATGAATACCTGCTCTGCTCTCATTACAATACCCTGCTTTTCAGAAATAGTGTCAGCTGCAATTTTCTCTCCTAATTATTTTCCGCTCCTCTGAGGGTTAGGTTCAGGACTGGAGCCAGAGGAGGCAGCGCGGGCTGGGCAGGAGGGAAAGGGGGGGTGAGCTGGATTCTACCTGGCAGGATGTGGAGTAGTCTGAATACCAATCCATAATTTAAAAGAGGGGAATAGATGGTCATTCATAGAGAGAGGCCTAAACCTTAACCTCTTGTGAACATGGCCTGCTGATCCTCCGAGATCTCAAACCCAGAAACGTCTTGCGGGCAGGCCGGGGGACAGTTAACTTAAACTTTTATCAATACTCTCCCTAAATGGGAATAGCAGTTTCGACACACAACCAAACATATTTAGTTTAAAACTATATATTCCCTCTCACCTTTTTTATTTGTATCCATGGCAACAACATATTTCCTCTCTCCTCACAGTACTTTTTTTCAAAGATGTACACTGATCAAAGCCCGTACACAATTCCCCATTTTTGATGACAGCGTTTTGCACTCATCTAATTTCACTGAAGGAGAGAACGACATGGATTAGTTGATAATGAAGTGCCAATCAAAGATCTGGCTGAACTAAATGTCAGGTGGAATATTTTTCGAGGCATTGTGGTGAATCCCTTGTGATACTGGATTATGTGTCCTTAT